GAGACTTATCTCTAAGATTTATAGCGGAAGAGTGGATGACCAGACTATGGTACATACACACAATGGAATGCTATGCAGCACTAAAGAATAATGTAGAGTCTGCAAAACACCGCATAATATGGATGAACTTGGAGGACATTATGCTGAGTGAAATAAGTCAATCACAGAAGGACAAATTAGTTCGTTGTTATGGATGGTCGAGGAAAGGTTTATATATGAAGGGAAACTTTCTTTGTTGGTTGCCAGGAGTGGCAGGGGAGGGGAGGGAACACTGCAAAAAGAAGGAAAAAAAAAAAAAACTAGGAATAAGTAGCACTACGTGACCAGGGCTCCTAAATATAGTAAGCCCAGAATATCCACTGTCATTTAGTTGATTCCCACTGATAGCAACCCTGTAGGACAGTAGAAATGCCCCATAGAGTTTTCAAGACTGTAAATATGTGAAAGTAGACTGCCTCATCTTTCTCCTGCAGAGCAGCAATGACTTCAAACTACTGACCTTTTGGTTAGCAACCCAGTGTTTTAACTATAATGCCACCAGAGTGCCTTACGTATTATTAATATAGGCATAAATAGACACTTTCTTAATGTAATTTTTTTAAAAAATATCAAACTGAAAATGAGACTCTTACATAAAATTAAAAGCATTCCTGGGAGAGTCGGGAATAAGACAAGTACTCACTGTCACTAGTTAACACTCTGTTTTAAGTACTGGTTGATGGCAAAAGAGTAAAGAGGTGTAATATTAGAAAGAGAAGGTAAAATTACTTCTTGCAAATGTCATAATTATTTGCCTGGGAAACCAAGAGAATTAACTTGAGAAATTTCTGGAAATAAAATAATTCAGTAGTGTGACTGCTTGCAAAATTCAAATTTTTAAAAACCTTTCTCATATATGAACAATCAATTAGAAAATATAAGGGAAGAGAAGAGCTTATTTACAACCACAAGAAAAAGTTTAAGTTAGAAATCTCACAAAAAAAACCATGTGGGATCTGATCAAGAAAACAAGCAGGTGAGTAAAACAACAGTTTTAGGAATTAGAAAGACGTACTTGTTCTTGAATGAGAGTTAATAATTTAAATGTATATCATATGTCCCCTAAATTAAGGTGTAAATTTGATGCAATTCCAATTAGAATACATTTTAATTTCCTGCAAATAACTTGGGATAAATAAACATGAGGCTATTCAGGAAAATCTGAGAAAAGAATAACAATTGCAGGTTGATTAACATTAAAATTTGTTTATATTATTGCAGAAAGGGCATTGAGGCAGCATCTTCTGACCTCTTCCAACCTCAAGGCTTATTCCTATGAAGCCAGACATGTCACCACCCTTTAACCAACTCTTACACCAGCCGTCCTTCCCACAACATTCACTGCTTCTCCACTGGGTTCAGTAATTCGTTTCAGTGGCCACACAGAACTTACAAATAATAACTTGCGGTTATGGGGTCTATTAGGAAAGTAACAGGCTACAATTCAGGTTCGGGAATGGCTTGGGATACAGTTCTCCAATCAGGACAGTCTCCCCTCTGCTATACCCTCAGGCATGCCTCTCTGGTTTGGCCAGGCAAGTGTTAAAAATTTCTTTTAGCTCTGCAGATAGGTACACCTACATGCACCCCACTCCATCAGCAGGCCTCCTGCTCTGGGGCACTCAGCTTTCTTGCTCTCTGAGCCAGGCAAGCCTACTGCTCTGTCTCATGCCTCTTGGTTCCAGTGCCGCCGTCTCTCAGCCAGGCTTCCCTGCCAGGGCATCTCTGCCAAAGCAGTCCAGCACAGGGATCTCGGCTCCAAGGACACACTCCACTCCATCTCCAGCTCTTCTCTCTTGGTGGCAGTGAGATTCCCCCTCTTCCTCTAGGAGGGCTCATTTTAAGTCCAGCAGCAGAGGAAAGTTTACCAATCCTCACATTAAAGTTCTACACATCTTATTTGCATGGTGCCACCCAGTAATCTGGTGGGAGTTACAAAGACTGACTAGAAAAACCGTACCAAGTAATTAACTGCATCACAATTATAAAGCTGCTTTAATTAAAATGGAATGGTAATGTGCAGATCACTAGAAAAGGATAAAGCCCACGGTACCTGTACAGCCCAACTTCTAGAGTCAGATTGTGCCTTTGCTACCTGTTACTCTGTGACCTTAATTTGGTGTCCTTTGCTGCAACTATAAACTGGGAATGATGATAAAATTTGTACCATAAAACTTTGGGGAATGTTAGATATACACCTCAGGTTGTTAACACGGTGCCTGTTCCATGATAAATGTTCAGTATGTGGTAGTTGTCAATATTAACAATAGAATGTGTTAAAAATAGCTTTTCAAATCCATTGAGAAAAGATTATTCAGTAACTATGTTTTAGAGGAAGAAGTAAAAGATTTTAAACAAGTTTAAGTGTGAAACCGTGCTTTTTTTTTTTTTTTTTTTTTTTTTTTGTTCGTTTGTTTTAATCTTTGAGTGGGAAAATCAAAACCAAACCCGTTTGTTACCATTGAGTCAATTCAGATTTACAGCAACCCTGTTGGGCAGGGTACAACTGCCCCATAGTGTTTCCAAGGCTATTATTATCTTTGTGGAAACAGACCACCACATCTTTTTCCCATAGAGGTGCTGGTGGGTTCAAACTACCAACCTTTGGTTTAGAGCTTCACCACTGTGCTACCATGGATCCTTTTGAGTGGGAAGGGGTTTCGTAAATATGTCACAAAATCCAGAAGCCAAATGTAGGAAAAGATGGGCAAATTTGACTATGTGATATTAAACATTTGAAGTAGCCCAAAGTGCCATTTAAAAGATCAATAGATAACAGGAACTCAGCAGAAAAGTATTTGTCTCATAAAACATTCAAATTGAATTTCCTTGCTATGTTAAAGCAGTGAGGGGAAAAGATGTACAACTAAGTAATAGAGTCAAAGCATGTACTGCCTTATTCCACTTATATAAAGTCAGAGAACAAACAAAACTTAAGTCAGAAAGTGATTGCTGTGGGGCGGGAGGGGGGGTGTGAGGAAAGGAGCTTGAATTTCTGGAGGGGTGAAAATGTTCCCTAATTTTGTTTTGAGTAGTCATAGAAGCAAATAAAATTGTCAAAGCTTGTTAACCTGAAATCTTAAGTTCTATGCATTATACTGAATGTTAATTAGACTTAAAAGAATTGGTAAAGGTGGTCAAAGGACATAAGCAAATTCACAAAAAATATAAATAAGATATTTGATATAAAAAGATGCTCTGCTTTCCACATAATTAATGAAATGCAAGTTAAAATAAATTTTCCCTAGTTGCTGTTGAGTCAGTTCTGACTCATGGCAACCCTGTGTATCAGAGGAGAACTGTGCTCTGTAGGGTTTTCAGTAGCTGATTTTCAGGAGATTGTAAGGCCTTGCTTCCCTGGGACTTCTGGGTGAACTTGAATCTTCAGCCTTTTGGTTAGCAGCAGAGTGTGTTAATCGATTGTACCACCCAAGGGACTACAAAATAGTAAGGTGGCAGTAATCTACCATATTGGAAGAGATTTATAAGTTTAACAAGCTCTGGGGACAAAAGAGGAATTAAAAAAGCATAGGTTTTTTGGAAGACAATCTGTTTTTATTAGATGGATATCAGTAACTTACCAGTTGACTCTGTAAATTCCACTTGTAGTGCTTTTTCCTGGGGTTAGAGTTTCACAGCTAATCAAATGTAACGTGTTTAATGATGTTCCCTGTATCATTGTTTAAAACAAGCGAAAATGCAAGCAACCTAAACCGCCACCAAATTGAGATTATAAACTAAATTCTGAGTCATTTTTGTATTATGTGTAGTGAATTTGATAGATTTACATGAATTATTAGGGAAAAATTTTCTATATAAAGAAAACTATATTATGTAAATGATTATGGTTCTATTTAAGTCAAAGTAATGTATGCACAGAAAATACCTAAGAATATATAAGAAATGTTAAAACACTGGTTTTGAAATACTCTTTCTTTTTTTCTTTCATTTTTTTAGGAAAATGTCTGAAGAATTTTCGGTAAGTTGATGCATTTATCCTTGATAAGTTTTATGCAGCTTAAGAAAAATTATGTATTCCTAACTATGGGCTATATAAGCCTTATAACTTAAAAGAGGTGCTTTTTGTAATCCTTGGAGTTTTTTGGCATGTGATTTTGACAGGGAATTTGATTTTGTTTAATTAGATATACTGTGCTTCAAAAGGTATTCGTCCTGTGGTATTTTTCACTTTCTAAATTCTTTAAAAATTATAAAAGTGATTGTTTCTGTTATTCTTCAAACTGAACACTTTAGCTTTTAAAAATGCTATATGGGTTTATAACCTTAATTGGCATGACTTGTCCCTGAATAAGATGGATAAGATACATCTATTTTGTTTTCCAGTTGGCAGATGCGCTCCCTGAACACTCTCCTGCCAAAACTCCTGCTGTTAGCAATACAAAACCTGGTCAACCCCCTCAAGGCTGGCCTGGTTCCAGCCCTTGGAATAACCCAAGTGCTCCACCTTCTGTGCCATCTGGACTCCCACCAAGTGCAACACCTTCCACTGTGCCTTTTGGACCTGCGCCAACTGGAATGTATCCCTCTGTGCCTCCCACTGGACCGCCTCCAGGACCCCCAGCACCCTTTCCTCCTTCCGGACCATCGTGCCCCCCACCTGGTGGTCCTTACCCAGCCCCAACTGTTCCAGGCCCTGGCCCCACAGGGCCATACCCTACACCAAATATGCCCTTTCCAGAGATTCCTAGACCATATGGTGCACCCACGGATCCAGCTGCAGCTGGTCCTTTAGGTCCATGGGGATCCATGTCTTCTGGACCCTGGGCACCAGGAATGGGAGGGCAGTATCCTACTCCCAATATGCCATATCCATCTCCAGGGCCATATTCTGCTCCTCCTCCTCCCCAAGCTCCAGGGGCTGCACCACCTGTTCCATGGGGCACTGTTCCACCAGGCGCCTGGGGACCACCAGCACCATATTCTGCCCCTGCAGGATCCTATCCCACACCAGGACTCTATCCCACTCCCAATAATCCTTTCCAAGTGCCTTCAGCATCTTCTGGTGCTCCGCCAATGCCTGGTGGCCCCCATGTGAGTATTTAATTTGTTATTTAACATGCACTTAATGGCACATAGCACAGCTGAAAGATTATTCCCGATTTTGGATGGACGTTAGAAAGCTTTTTAACTTTCTATAGGGAATGTGTGTATATAAGTAAAATTCAGAAATTCAGGGAAAATGTTTAAAAGGATAAAAGCACAAATTAAGTATTCCTGACATTAGAAATAGATCATTTGCCCAAAGATCCCTAAAGACTTTATAATGTAGTAAACAGTATCCTCAACAGCATCACTGAGGTAAACTCAGAGGTCCGTATTTTACTGGACACCCTTTTTTTTTTTAAACATTTTTCAATGTTACTTTATAGCATCACACTAAAGTATAATTAAATAAACGTAATCTCTGCCTATCTGGCTTAATACGGACGTCTATTTTTAGAAAATCCAGGGTAATGGAAGTATAATACTGTCCATCTTTCAGGCAATTAACCATTGTATTTTCTCAGCCAAGGTTTTATTAGATCTTTAGCAGTATTGAGCTGGAGATTATGCTGCTATTCTGTATTGTCAGTTAAATGTAATGCTGCAAGGTTTACTGTCAGCAGAGCTGTAGTAGGGTTGAGAAGCCTGTCTAGGGCATGTGACAGAATAGTAAGGCAACCCACCTCCCCAGTGGGGTAAGCAAAGTGAAGTAGAGTCAAAGCAGAGTCAAGTTTCAGCTTAGGGGAAATGTTTTTACACAAAATAACTGACTAGGTTCCCAAATAGATATTTACAGAGTATATGCTAGGGTAATTAACTGAGATGGCTTGCTGTTTGGATTTACTAAGCAACAAATTTATTTAAAGCCACAGAAAGGAGTTAATTAGCTCCTTTTGCAAAATCTAGAAGTTGACTTTTCTTTTTTCTATTGCAGTCTTACCATTAAGTTAACAATGGACGAAGAGATGACGCTTTGCTTTTTGAAGTACATATATATGCACATGAATGCATATATAAAATTTGCTTGTTTCACTATTAGAGGGCATTCATGAAAGAACAACTCTGGCAGCTCTCAGAGAAGATATCTGCCTCTTGTACTTGGATGTACAGATGGAACAATCAGATCAAAACAAATCATTCAAATGTGATTTTTATTTGGTTTTCATGGAAAGTTAAAATATATTGAATAGCTCTTTGATAGAATTTGTTTAAAACATGAAACTACACATTTCAAAATCTAAGGTGATGTGGATTATTGTTAGACTCTGCAACTTTATGGGCACATTGCAAGTGTTTTTTATAATCACTTTTTCCCTGAATAAACACTTTGAAAAACAATCACATTGCCATAGTTTAGACAAATGATGCCTCTAAACATTTGAGCTGCTTTCTACAGGATAAATAAACCTGATCCTCATGAGGTTTTATTTGGGATACACATTTAGAACTGTCAGTAATTATTGTTAGATGTGGAGTTCATTAGCCAGTGTTCATTTTTATTCTTGAGCTTTGATTAGTAAAAGCCTTTTGAGTGCTACCTAATTTGGTTTATTTTTAGCCAAATGTGTCAAATATCTCTAACATCTGCCATTTAGACAACCTTCATCTTTATTTTATTTTTTTAATCTAGGCCAACATGTTTGTAAATTACGGTCTTAGAGAATTGACCTTTTTTTTATTATTATTACTTTAGAGTGGATTATGTGATACCCATATTGCTTTGAGATGTGTTCAAGGAAGGAAATAATTCTCTCCTTTGTTTTGAACCTCAGATGAGGAACCCCTGGGAATTGCTGCATAGCAACAAGTAATTTGCATTCCCACAAAAACCTGAAGCAGCTCTTCTGCCCAGACCATTCCCTGTAGTCCCCCCCTCCCTCAGTTCATGAGAAGGAGCACATCCTTTATTCTTCCCTGATAAGGAAAACAGGCACGCTCTAGGGGTCTATTATAAACATATATAGCAATTACGTTTAGATAACCTTAAGTCACAGAGACTTGACTGTTCTCTTTGTACAAGTGAGAATCAAAGTATGTTTTTTGTCTTTCAAAGTCTGGTTACAATATGTCATTGTCTCCTGAATAGTTTTCTGGGTCTGTTTGTAAAGTGCTTATGGCTAACAGTTTAGTTTTGTATGTTGACAGGTAAATAAGTGGAATTGAGTGCCATCCTTGAGAGAATTTTTTTCTAATTCAACACATGAAAATAAAAATAAATTGTAGATATCTGTAATTGGGTTTAAAGCAGTATGACTGTTGCTTCAGTATTAAATATTGTTTATAACCACCAAAACAACTCTAGTAGCTTTTTGGCACCTTACCTTTAAATAAGATAATTAGATTTGAAATAAATGAGTTTGACAGAATTGACCTTGTTATTTGTTAAATAAGATTTTAAAACTTTGAATGTATCCACTGAGTTTCTAAAGTGTATTGTAGATTTATTGGACCAGTATTGGAGAAATTTATTGCTAGAGCACTGTTTTGTTTAAGAATATTTAATAGTTTGTTTCTCCTACTATTAAAATGTCAGAGTGCCAAATACTGCCCATTTGATGGTTTGATAACTACCTCCTTTTAAGAAAACAAGATGGTCACTTTTGTGGGACATTCAGTATTTAAGGCTCCCTTATTTTAAGCACATGACAAATTTCAAGCTTTCAGAATTGATAATGGTGGAAACTAATTTGTTTAGGTATGTTCAGGCCGTGAAATATTAGGCAGCTTACGCAGTGCTACAGCTGGTCTTCTTTCACTTCCTTTCTACAGCAGTCTTGGAATCTATTGTCAAAGCAGCCTCAAGTTTACAAGGCAACTAGCCTTAGAAACTGTCATCACTTAAAGTATCAGTCAGTATCATAATGTCAGTTAACTTCAGGGATAGGTGGTAGGGAGAGGGAGAGAGCAGCAGAGATCCCTCTCCTTACGGTTAATTTGGTTGCCCTACATTGGGATAAGTTGCGAGCTCCAGCATTAGATGGAATATTTAATATAATGTTAGAGTAGAATTTGACTGAAAGAAGAGGTAGCAAGTTTGGGAACCTATAATTGTGGAATACTTTGTTGTTAAGAGAGAAAATGTTTTGCTAAAGGATTTATAGGGCCATGAACACAAGATTAGAGATTACTACTACTCTTAAGGAGCTCTGGTAACATAATGCCTACTGCCTCGAAAACCCAAGGAGGGGTCGCTGTCAGTCGGAGCCGACTCGATGGCACATAACAACTACTACTGGCGGTTCAAACCCACCAGCCACTCCTCGGAAGGAAGGTTGGGCAATCCTACTTCCGTAGTGATACTGCCTCGGAAGCCCAAGGAGGGGTCGCTATGAGTCGGGTTTGACTCGACGGCACATAACAACAACAACAACTCTTATGTGGAAGGACTTTGTTAATGACTCAGACTGCCTGGTGTGCCCTAGAAGATACGCCATTTTAACCCTTAGGTTTCTAACACTTCTCAGTTGGAAAGTTGGAGGAGGGGGGAACGGGGGTTTTTTTGGTTTGTTTGTTTTTTAATGTAAAAATGGATATCAAAGGGATCATAGAATTTGCTCTTACACTCTTTTGTTTTTGTTTATGTAGTGCACCATTTCTCCAATTGGGAGTAATCTCAATTCTTGTGGATACTCTGGGCCAAAAAGTGCTTTTGGGTTTAGGATGGAGTTGAGAAAAGCAGATGCGGTTTCAGTGGAGAAAGGGGGAAAGGCATCTACATAAGTGGGTGTTTTTTTTTTTTTTCTTTACAAGAGAATAATGTTGCTTTCAAAATAAGCCATGCTAGGCTGAGACTGGTTTATGGAAGAAACCGCTAGTTAGTACATTTGGTCTTAAGGGAATACATTCTGGCATTTGGGCCTTAGAGCAAAAATTTAAAAATTAATTTGGTGGAGATCGTCATGAGTTGCGGGATAATGTTTCTGGAGTTAGAATCTTTGGTTTCAAATTAAAATACACAAGCAGTGCTGAAGTTGAACCCAAAAAATCACAGTGCAAAAATGATTTTAAATAGAAATACTACAACGTCCAGTATATAGACCTTAACTCTTTTTTGACACAAATGCTCCTTGCAGGAGTGTTTAAAGCACCTGGCTACTTTTTTATACAGGTCTCAGCCCAACCAACATCTTTCCATGGTTTTGAAGAGCCTGCTGCTAGCTTTGAACTCCAGAGCCCTTTTTTTGTTTAAAGTAATATACTGATTATTCATGACTAGCCATTTTTTTTTTTTTTACAACCCAAAAGCCACCATCTTTTCCATTTTTAATCTTTATTATCTTCAGCGGAGAATAATAATAGGGCAGAGAAGAAAGGGTAAATTTTTGGCTTTGGAGAGTCACACCACTGCAGTGGAATATTGGGATATTTTCTAGGCAAAAAATGTCAATTATGCCCATGATGTTGTACCTCCCAGATAATCAGTGCCGCCTGTGGTACTCAGACAGACAGTGGTTGAAACTATTTGTACAGATAGATGGACATAGCTGTACTCAGAACGCTGTGCCTCATTTAGGTATCAGCTGCCTACACTTCTAATGATCTTGTGCCAATGTCTTCCCTTCTCACCCTGAATAATCTAGAGCTGGCTTTATAAAATGCCAGTTTTAAATCCTGGAAATGAAACACAGACCTTCAAGTGTTAAAAGTATTTGAAAAGCATAAATCTAAATTCAGAGGAATCATGTAACACTGTACTATGTATAGAAAGTGGTGGGTGGTTTTCAGGGAGACTAATCTTAATAAAGCAATGTTTAGTATTGAAGGTAGATGCTGTTCTTTTTGTTTGCATAATTCTGCCAAGTAAAACAATTGCCCCAAAATTAATCAGTATTAAAGAAATACCATGCAGCTTTTGGCTTTAGAATAGACATCTGAGGCCTGCATTCATTCAATAGACATTTCAGTGTCCATGGTCCAGGTGCTTTGCCAGAGATTCAGCGATGAAAGATAATACCTGTCTTTGAGGGGCTCAGTCTAGGGGTAGCTTTACTAAATTAAATTAGTAGTTCTTTACAGGTAAACATTTTAATATTACTGGTGGAAATTATAGACATTTTAAAGGGCAAAGTCCGGTATACTTTTTTTTTTTTTAAGAAACATCATGATATTTTCTCCCAAGAAGGTGTAGTGTTTGTGGGCGTAACTATTCAAGTGTGCAGTGGGGATGGTTTGGCTCTCACTTTCTCTCTAGATGCAGGCACTTTGCCTGTCACTGATTAGCAGATAACTGATTTGTTGTCATTAAGTAAGCTTAACTCGAGCGTGCTCTGTAAAGATTTTTTTGTATTTTTTTCTTGAAATTGTGATTTTTCATTGACATGACAAATTTAATGTATGTAATTGCCTATGCATTTTAAGTTAAACTGCCTAAAATGTGATTGGAGACATATACATTTGTATTATGAACTGTAAGCAACCTGTTGAGATGTTAGGTTTATCACCTGCTGCTGTATTTGTAAACGAAGACAAATGTTGCTTTAAGAAGTAATTATAATTAGAAGTAGTGTATGGATGTGATACTTGATATTTTTTAAGATAAACTTGTTTGCTTTTGTGTATTGTATCTGGAATTTTTTTTTTTTTTTTTTTTTTAATGTATTTTAATGGCTTTCCTGTTTTTCCATGTATTATATTCTTTAGGCCTAATTCTGGGCTTCCCTGAGCAAGTGAGAGGAAATTTGTTTTGAAAAAAGGGGGAAAACAAAAACCTGAGACACCCCTCTGCAAGAGATCTGCATTCCCTCAGGCATTTTAAATAGGCTGCTTGGAAATGATCACAACCCCCTTTCAGCACATGCCTGTTGTGACATTTTCCTCCCTACAAGGTTAGGCTAAGATATCTTTGTAACCATATTATCTGTATATACATGAGAAAGACTTTTGTATGCCCCAATCAGTTTCTTTTATAAAATATAGTTCTAGCCATATTTGCTGTGCATATGTGAG